TTCGGCTTATTAATAAACTATTCATAAATGTTATTGCCGATAGTTTATAAATCTATGAGTATCTCGCACTTAGGAAGTTTTGAGAGGTTAGTCTCCCCAACAAGGATCGTTTTAGGTAACAAGTTACGCTTTTTTGTATCAATTTAACTTTTTAGCTTGAGCATTTTATCCCTAAACAGCTTGAACATTTTATCGTGTTCAAGCTAAGCTTAGGTCAAATTAAAGCAAAAAAGCGTAACCTGCTACTTAAAACGATCCTTGATCATATCAAACCTGTAACACTACATGAAATTGTGATGATGCATAATGGGAGTTTTTACGCTATATCGCTACAAAGCTTAGAACTTACGTACAGTTGTAACCCATTATGGTATGCGTAAGTACACCATGACAACATTGTAGTCAGTAACCAATCTGCGAGCAAAGAGTGCCTCCTGCCAAAAAAATATCCCATCAGGGTCGCAACTATCCCGATCACAGACCATCTTGGTCACAGGTTATTCTAGAAACAGACCTACCTGTATCTCGGTCACAGACCATTTTTGTCCCAGAACTTAATCTATAAACACACCTTGTTACTACCGCTGCAGGAGCTTCTCTTTTGCACTGTACACGTTTGATTTAAGCTCGACAAGCATCCACCGCGCCGATTCTTTGTCCTTGAACGGCTTAAATAAGCGTACGGCCCGTCGAGCCGCCTAGAAAGACGCGACGATGTGACCAACGTGTAGAACGTGAGGTATCTGTAATGAGAATAGTTAAAGTGACTTACCTAATCTCAGCGCACGCCCATCGCCTTCCCAAAAGGCTTCTAATCTTACCATTTTCGAGATTGCAGACACTTTGAGTAATGTTCTTAACGTCAGCGCTCACCTTTAATTGAAACCCACAGAGGTTGCTTGTTTTCGAAATGATCAAATTCCTTTCAAAGGAGGATGTTCATGAAGGCAATTTCAAAAACAATCGACCAGACCAAATTCAACTTGCTTTTTTCGAAATAATCACGATGGCTTTAAACGAAAGCGACCATTTTGAAGGTCATTGTAAGTCATCCACTTGTCGACTTGCAAGATTAAAAAATATATTCAGACGAGAATGTCGTATAATGTCGGAATTGCACAGATAAAAGTGTAACGTCGACGTAGAAGCGAGTACTCACCCTCACTTTCGATCGTACCCTGCTTTTGACCATGAGTTGATAGGTGCAGCTATTGACCAAGTCTTGATTTCGACATATGACCTGACCCAACTCCCATGTAGGAAGTGCGTTGCGCTGTCTGTGCACGATCCTTCACCTAGGGAGGCAGAGACAGATTAGTCGAATGTTTCATCTTGTTAACACAAGTGCTCACAAGTAGATCGTCCCAGAAATCCTACAAGTTTCTTCTGATTTTCGCCTCGGTTTCTCGTTGATCACATGTAGATCCTCGTTTGGATGCGCATGTTAAATCCGTCGAAACAATTTAGGTTGTACATCGGGATGTCGATCTCTATACCCCATAAAATGTATACCGTTCATAGAGAAGCCAGACTCCGAATCTAAATGCTTTTGAACTTGAGCAAAGTACTCAGGGGTATTGGGTAAGTGAGGGTCAGAATCCTCAACTGGTCTCAAATTTTCTGGAAATGGTATATGATTATTGCTCATCGTCACATGGCCTTCTTCCAAGCGTCTGATGCCCTCATTTGTGCCTTGAAATGTGTATTTGGGCTGGTTAAACGAAGGCGCAGAGGATGGTATCTCGGGTGTTTCTATCACACCTGGCTCACGTGGTGAGGGTTCTGGTTCCGTTTTCGGATTCTTTAGGTGAGTCTCTTCGCCCGCGGTTCTCGTCCTTGTCATTAGTGGGGAGCCTTCATCAACTCCTTCAGCTTTTTTCTCTGTTGCTGTCGGTTTGACGATTTCAGTGGCCTTTGGTTTCGTAATGCCCTTGATACCATCTGAAGATTTAGCGGAAGGATGCATCTCGCTGATAACGACTGTAGAAGGTGCGGGGCCCGGCTCTGATTTGTTCCGACGGAACAAAGTCTTGATTTTGGCCATGAATCCCTTTAACCACTCAGCAATAGACCCCATAGTTGTCTGAGAATGGACAGTTGGTGATATCGGCACTTCTCACGTTGCTGTAGGATCTTTTGGAGCTGTGTAATGTCCATTTTTATCTAAGCTTTTTACGGCTGCTTGTACTTTTTCGGTATCCGCACCGATAGACGTCACAACGCTATGAAAAACATTTTTACCATTTGCGTTTGCCGTCTTACCGAGCAAACCCTCAACAGCCTTTGTTTCAGTTTCAAAGTGAATTCTTTCCTCGGTGTCCATTGATTCGGCAGCGTCCTCAGTTTTCAGATGCCTCTTATCAACTGTACCGACCAGTTTAGACAGAGGACGCTCCAACGGAGCGCTAGAAGACGCCAAATTAGCACCGAGGGATGGAATTCCGCTTGCGTGCAGGGTGATAGTAATCAGCAACGTCACAATAAACGGTTGGTGACGCATGCTGAATGATTGATGCTGTCGAGATTCTGAGTTGGTGTTCGCTCAGTTTGACGAATATTCGATTGTGCTGAAGACCATACGGCATGGGCTCTGCTCACAAAAATTCGATTAGCTTTGTGTTACCATCAATAAGTAATGAAAACATGCATGGACAGAAATCCTAGAAAGTGATCGTATCTCCGGATGTCACAAGAAAGCACATGGCAATGCACCCGTTCATATATGTAGAATCTGAGCATTTTCAAGAATTGAAAAAGCGTGACCGAGGTGAACAGAGTATGTCGCCTTTACAAATCATGCGCGAAGTCGATATTGAAGACGAAATGACAATATGATAAGACAACCATTCTCTAAAGTGCTCATGTCTAGTACCATACAAAAAACGCTGTTTCTTTATTCGCCTGAAGCTCTGTTTCAAGCATGAGGCTACGTGACAACACAACGACTAATGTTGATGCTATCACTGCTGCAAATTTATGTTGTCCTCACTATCAGTGCGTCCTCTAGATACCTGCTGGCTCTACTTTCGTATAGCTTATTAGCCGCTATTACCACAGCTTGTTGGGCTGGTGATCAGTATTTCACATAGGCGCAAACAATACTTTACAATTGTACCAATTTCACATTGCAAATGATAAAGACAGACAGTTTTATAATGAGACTTTGTAAAAGGTTTTTATTTACTACGACACATTGTACTACAACACGTCGATGTTTGTGCGATTGTATCTGATAGGATTATCCATTGCTCAAGTACGTTTGTGCCTTACTAATGTTGCTTGCGCCGATAGAAAAAATCTTGAAACAATTCGTAATGATACCGTGGCGCGAGATGTTAACGTGTCAAAAAAATGTGGTGAAAATCGGGATTTTGGGGTAAAGTAAATTTCGATCGGATCCAATAAAAATGAAACTATAACAATTTAGGATGCCTTATTGTACTTCTCCTCAGCTATCTATCTCACCGCGATGCTTCTCGAATACGTTGCTGCTGTCGTTTGTTTACATTGTTGACGATACAATGCTCATTGTCGTGCTGAGCACGAAGCGTTGGGTATAAACAACATAATCAAGTTCTTCTGAACAGTACTAAAGTAGATACCTTAAGTAAGCTACTATCTAATCTGGACAAGTGCCGACAGGTTCTCTTTTCAAGTTGGAAAATATGGTCTATGGAGAAATTTCGCCACGATTAAGGTCAATGGAGATAAGGCAGTGACTTTGTTTCGAAAGAAGTTTGTTACTATGTAAAAATTATTTCACATCGCTCACCAAGCGCTTTAAAATGACATCTAATAGTGCTGGATGTGGCAAAAAAGTCGCGTATTAGGTCTGTGAAAGAATAGCTTCTGTATGCCCGATTCATGCTAGTTTTATAGTGGACCGACATCAACATATCGTTTCTGGCCTTCACGATATGACATGCATTACTCCATACAGACTGCAGCGGGGCTGCCGTAGCTTTGCGCTTGAGCGTCTTTAGGTCACGGACCTTTCGTTTATTACCAGAACTAAGTACTAGTGCAGCGGATCGCAATCCGCTTCCTCTACTTAAAGGCCTTAATCAAGGCAAACGAACACTTCTGTTCAAATTTGTAACTGAGTTTTATTTATCTTTTTATCCTAATTTTAAAAATTTAGATTTTTCTAAATATACTAAATATATATATATATTGTAAAATCTAAATATGCATAACTACTGGGCTACCTAGCCACATACCGTATTCTTGTTTGGGTGCAGCCACACCATGCACATCTTGTGTGACACACGCCCCTGTTACCAGCGTACGTGTAACCCCGTTACACAGACTGAGAGGGCTTGAGCGTGTAATCGCGTTCGTGTTTCTAGCCTAAAGTGGCAGAGGGGAAAAACTCAGCTCAGGACAAGAGGCTACTTGCAATATAGTGGCTCTTTTCAAATTCGGCTCGGCGTTAAGTCATTTGTGATTTGTGTAAATGATGTTTCGTGTTCCACCTGCTCGGCGTTAAGCCATTGGTGGATTCTTCAAATGATGCTTCGTTGCGCTCAGCGATCTGTCGAGCATCCATTTGAGTTGAGGTGTTAGCAAGAACGGTCTAATCTGACGGAAGATTCACATTCACACCGCCCCTTTACAAAACTGTTGCATGTGTTAGATGTAATGTCAGCAATCTAGAGGGTGATACGTGCAGCGTACGATTCAGAGGTAACATTCGATACGTTATTCAGAGTTGTGATTAGCTAGGACTTTGTGAACTTAGATACAACTTCACCGAAGCGCTTAGTAGCACTTTATCACTACTATTCCTTATTCCACGTCTCGCCATTATATAACAGCATGCATATCTTGAAATTCAGTGTATGGTAAATATTAAAAAGAGGACCAAAAAACAAAGTACTGTACAAGACATATCACAGTCTTTTGGGTTGCCATCTCAGGCGAGAAAGATTTACTGCTTCGTGAAAGCTATGTACTGGTGGCCTAATTAAACTAGTGAGTATTCACGAATGTGCGCGAGTGGGAAATTTGTCAATTCAATTAACTTTTACGCTCCAACATGCTAATATCAGGTGAGTGCTGGCAGTTCAAAAGTATGGGCGTTCTTTCGGACTTCCAAAAATCACGTTTGGTGATGCAGAAATTGTGGTCTTTGTGGACGGTCTGGCTCAACTTGCGGCTGTCAGCGACACTATTACCGGTGAATGCACAGCCAAAATGTACATCAACAAAGCTGAAAAACGGTTCGTCGGAGACCATTGTGTCAGATCTCCATCCGCACTGGAAAACAAAGTTCTGACAAACCATTACCAAAATGATAAGCACTAAACTGGAATGCCCACTACTACCCACAGACAAATGGTCAGGTGGATTACCTCAATCGCGCGAAAAAGACTATTCCAAAGCACTGGAGCGGATGAATTTCGGTTCTGAAGGGATTCGTTCAAATTCGCGAATTTCTAATAAAAATCAGTGCATGTCTCTACAGGCATTACCCCAATCTACATAAATGGTGAGGCCAAACCCCGTGCTCTTGTGATACCACCACAAAGTGACTTCGGTCTCAGGGCTGCTGTTAGTATTCGAGACACAAGTATTAGCCCAGCTACACTTCGAGTATAGAGCTTAATGTCCCGTCTTCACAATGCTATGATGAGAGCAAAGACGTGCATATGCAATATGCAGGTACCAGAGGCATACGGATCATAGATAATAATGTAGTGGCTAGATTATTTCATCAAATGCGATTAAGTGGCCTACGCATGTAGCGTCTGTAGTCGACAAGACTACGTTGTGTTCCTACTATATCGGACCGTTTACAGTATTTGCCCGAAAGAGAACTTACAATTTTTTAACATCTCGCAGAGAATTCGGACACATCCTAGTTCCTATTTTAGCCACCTCCTCAACTCGATTTTACGTAGCATACCTATTTGAAGCATTCTGTTGAAGTTGAAGTAGCAGTCTCTATCGTTACCAGTTTCTTATATCCTCTTTGTTTGAGGGCAGGGCAGCGATGCTGTAGCGGGGCTGCCGTAGTTTTTTGCTAAGATAAAACTTACCAAGGTCCCGACCTTAGGTTTTATACTAGAACCACTGCGAGTGTGGCGGATCGCAATCAGCTATCACCAAGAAAATCCCAAAACCTTCAGCAAGACAAATGTACTCTTCCGTTCAAAATTGAAACTGTATTTATTTGTTTTTATTTGCGGCAGAGCCGCCGATATGTAAAATCTTTGAATTTCTAATTACATAATTAAAGCTATTTTCCATGCATTACTACTTGCAGACCCGCCACGTAGTGGCTTCTTGTTACTGTGTAGCCACACCAATGGGTGATTTCACCCACTTGTGTAATTTTCACCTTTGTACAGTCATACAAGATGGTGTGACTGACCCTTTCGTACCAGGGTACGTGTAACTCCGTTACAGTCTTCCCCATCAAAATCGTGAATATTCAAAATTCATATGTAACTGTCGCCTCATACGATGCTTGCGTGTCTGAGACATTGTTACCTCCCTAGAACCATCTTAAAACATTTCTTACTCAATGGGCCCTGTGTCTATGACACGAAAAGACCCAGCCAAGCTAATTCCGAGGGCGATCGCGATCAAAACCTTTCTTCTTATGCACGGGGTGCATATCGGACAGTTCGTCCGCGGCTTCACGGGCACATCCTAAGCCCTCGGCAACCAAACGTCACAAACTGCGCCCGCCCTGGGAGACGGATTTCCTCGGGGAAAGGTGACGACGGTCGGATACTCCTTCCCCGGTATGGGTAAAAGAGGAGGGCGATGCACCAGCGGCGTGAAGTGAGCCCTACTCGAACCTTGGGGACACCGTGTCCGTTCTCAACCTCTCAACTTCTGGGGGGTGGTGGTATTGTTACCAATCGCTCCGACGAGGCAAAAGGAGCAGCAATTGGAGGCTGCCTGCAGAGCAGCTCTCCTGCGGTCGTATCCGCGTTCGGTCCTAGACCCTCGTGTGGAATACTGCTTCCGCCCGGCGGATCCCCTACTGAAGTTAAAGACGCGATCACTTCATCGTTAGGCGTCTACGTAGTCGGGCTCCTGGGCACTGCACAAGTTGATCTTGACCAGCTAGAAGCTCTCCGAGCTCTTCTTGGTACCTCAATAAATCCCAATGGATAGATGTTGCACTTGACTTCGAGCTCAAACTAGAGGCGCTCCTGTACTCAAAATACGGACTATGCCTGCTGTGCTTTCCCTTGTCGAAACCGCTGCAGATAAAGAAACGATCTTATAGCGATGGGTGCAGCGGCACCAGAAACTTCCTCGCTGTCTTGCTTACAGTGGAGCAACAAGGAAGTGAACGTGTGTGTGGAATGCCATCTTTGATTTGAGTTTGCCAAACTCAAGGCACAATGCCGAGCTCCTGCATATTGTCGCCTTGCGACAAATGGAATAATCTGTCACGCTTCTGCGAGCTCTGTGGTTCCTCACACGGATGGGTCCATGGCCACAGCTGATCAGGGCCATAGTTTGAGCTCAGCTCATGGC